CCATCACCGAGTTTCTGAGTCGCCGAAGGTTCTGCTTTCCTCGCCCCTCTGCTCGTCCCTGGGCGAGTGATTGCTGGCTAAGCACACGGCAGCGCAGCTCCGGCGACCTGCGCTCTGCCTGCGGGTCCTCCGCCGCTTCCCTTCTCTCTGCTTCCCCGGGAAGTCAGTCGTACAAAGAAGTGGCTGGCAGAGGTGCTTGTCGACCGTATTCGTTGATGGTGTGTTAGGGTGCTAGGTGGAAGCTAAACTGCTTCACTCCAGCAACACAACAAGAGCCTATATATAGCCAAAGACAGAAATGTGCCAAGGGTGGAACACCAGCAACAAAAAGATGTGTAGTTGCAGAGATGTTCATTGCTTACACCCAAGGTAAATGCTTCTGTAAGTCTGTCCTTCACTAGAGCTAAACTAGATGAAGGTTAAGATTTCATGTTGTGTGAACGACCTGTCTCCCCCCTCCTGTGAGCCTGGCAGAAGAGCAGGACTGGCCTTCATGGTCAGTGTCCTGGTGTCCTGCTGCCGCTCAGCATGCTCAAAGTCGGATCATGTGGAAAAAGGTGCGTGAGGGGCTGATGCAGGCATGTAAAAGAGTAACTTTCCACGAAACTTTCTTCCTGACCTCTTTGTGGAGGAGCAGGTCTTTGCCTTGAAGTGGTTTCATTAAACAAAATGTTTAATGTCTGACAAGAAGATATTCAGCATCCCATGTACTGAGACAGTTATTTCCTCTTTCCTTTTCTTTTCTTCACCATTTTTAGCTATAAAAAGGGCCCTAGCTTTTACATTTTGGAGCTGTCCTGATTTTTGTTTGGTCCAGCCTCATTTTGAAGAGGGATATCTATTTTAATATCTGGTTCAGGTCCTAAGTACTAGCTGTATAGTGATACGGTGAAAATACTCCCAGGAGCGTTGGGCCAAATCATGCAATCCTTAAACTGGCAAGACTTGTGTAAGACTGCATGCTTGGCCCCAGATAATCTCTTGAAGGACTTAACAGCATGCCACATAAAACTTGCTGTGGATAGGCTTTGGAATATTTAAGATGAAGAAGTCTCTATTCTGATCTCAGATATGTGGATGCTCTATGTCACGTGCCTTAAATTCATCTTCTGCACTTACAATAGGATGTGACAGTGCTGTTTTGTTCATTTAACACACTAAGCAGCATGCGCCCAAATATTTGAAATGAGGACAGCAATTAAAGTCTACATTTATACTGATGTGAAAGATGCCAGACTTACTAACTTAGCTATAGCATGGTATAATACACACTTAACGTAAGATTTAACCTCAGTTAAAATTGCTTGGTAATATGATAGTTTGGTAAAAGCTTTACAGCAAAAGCCTTAGTAAGAAATCTGAAAGTATTGCATATCCAGATATAATGGGAATGTTTAAATTGTTTCAATGGATCGATTGTATTTGAGATACTACATATACCAGATAAACAGCACGCTATCACTTTTTATTACTTCAAAAATAAAATAATCCATAGTTACTAAATATTTCCTTTCAGTATTTTTTATTTGTGCATATGTAGAGAATAATTTAAGATGCCCAGGCCCTAAAACGGGGTTATCAAAACAATAAGACTATGGTGTTTGTAGTACTGAATAATATATAAGGTAATGATCAATAGTCCCTTACAGGGAATACATTTCATCTTTACATTAGCTTGGCTATAAATTTTCCCTATTGGCTTCAACTTGTGCTGTGTTAGATTTATGTGATTCATGCCTGTTATTGATTAGTGCACAACTATTTTGCCGGAGATGCCAAATTAATTGTTCAAAAAATCCATGAAAGTGCTTTTTTATTGGCCACGTGAGGGTCAACACATACTATACTGTTATTTTATTATTTCATGTAAATACAGTTTCCAATAAGCTTTAAAAACAGTTACGTGGTGTACTTAGACATGAAAATTCACAAAATATATTGAAAATGCTACTCTGTGCTTTATTTTGTGGCTCAGAAAGTCACATAATGCAGCAGTGTGCAAGTGACCGGTGCTGGATAACTCCTTTGAGATTGTTAAAGTCTTACACGAGCACTCCCAAATAGGAAGCAATTTCCTTTTTTCATACAAGACTTCTAGGTTTGTGCAAGGTTTGGCTGGTAGCATCCTCATTGAAGAGGTAAGCAGTTTGCAGGGAAGGCTGCCAAAAAAACCCCAACTCCTCAGAACCAGATGAGCTGATATTTGGTACAGATACTTGCTGTACCCTGCGCGTTGATGCTGAACGTCAGAGCTTTGCAGAAGCAGCGCTTCTCTGCAAAATGTTCTTATTTCCAGTGCACAAATGTCTGTGTGAGCTTGCTGTTATGTGCACTGGAAGACTGAATCATTTATACACTACTGCTTAGGTTTAGAATATTTTAATTTCCAAATTTGAAATGAGTAAAAAATAACACACTGGAGAGAATGGTTAATACCTAGACAGAAATGTGTGAGACTCTGGACTATATTAAGGATTTTCATTTCTCAAGCCTCTGGAAGATCATACTGTGAGTAAATCTTTCCCCGTGTTCCTGATTCATTGATGCCTGGAAGTAGATCTTTTGGTTCCATGCGTAACATTGTTTTCATCTCACAATTCTGATTCAAGTGTATTTTTCCGAATTTATTTTGCGAGACAAATTTCATAAGTTCTTTAATACTGCTAACTTTGTCCATCTGGAAACTTTTTTTTTTCTTTGAATGTAATATTTGTTGTGCAAAACAGAATATGACTTAACTTCAGATTTGTGTTTAGAAATCATGAGAAAGTTTGAGAGTGATCTTTTAATTTGGTATGTTAATGCTGTCTGCAATGCATCATTGTAGCAGGGATTTTGCTGTTGAAGTATTGTACTTTAAGATATATTCATTTGTTCCTTATCTTCCTCTAAACAGCTCTGAAAATAGAAAACCACCTTTGAAAATAGCTGCTTGTTGCTCAGGGATCAGTCACATCTGAAAAAAAAATAATCTTTCGATGGAAACAATATGTACATTGTTTGTTTTTTCCTGCATTTTATAGGTATACTGGAATTTATCAGTATAGCAGTGGGCTTGGTCAGCATCCGAGGAGTCGACAGTGGACTCTACCTTGGAATGAACGAGAAAGGGGAACTGTACGGCTCGGTAAGTTCCCACTTGCCTTGGGCAGTCATGATCCTTAACGTTCTGTGGGAAAAATACTTGCTGGCTCCTACAAGCCCCCGTTGCACGAGGTGCTGTGCAGGCACTGTTTCTGCTTTAAATATCTTGCAGTCTAATTAGAAACAAGACCCTATAGGTGGTATAATGAACACAGGAGAGGGAAAAGGTGAAAAAATCAGGAACTGGTAATAACACGGATGGACAATTTAGTTACAAGCAATGATGATGGCCAGAGCTGGTCATGGAAGACTAAAGGATGTACTGTAAGATTTGTAAAGCCTGTCTTTTCAGTAGAGACCAAAAAAGAGACAAAGTTGCTGCCTTTTGTGCGTAGGTAGAGAGCTTTCTAGGAATTGACAAAAGAAAGTAGAGGAGGAGATATAGGCTACCCAGGGAGATGGTGTATTCGCCATCCCTGGAGGTGTTTAAAGGAAGAGTAGACGTGGTACTTGGGGACATGGTTTAGAAGTGGTTTTGTCAGGTTAGGTTAATGGTTGGACTTGACGATTTTAAAGGTCCCTTCCAACCTCAACAATTCTATGATTCTATGTGGACGAGAAAATGAGAAATAGGAGTGGATAACAGTTACGAAAAATATAGGAATGAGGGTTAAGAGGCTTGGTGGTCTTGTCCTGAAAGTTCAGTTGGTGCTCCCTGCAGCATGGCAGCAGGAGTGAGTAATGGGTGTGAGGGAGGGGGAAAACTTGGTATTTCAGACGTGGGAGTTAGGCTGGCCAGCCAGCCTACCTGCAGCTCATGTGTGACCATCCGCAGCAACATGGGCTGTCTTGCAGCAGAGGAGTGTGTGTGTGTGTGTGTGTGTGTGATGTGACCCTTACCTGGGAATACTTCAGACACCTGGCATACATGGGGGTTCACACCCTGGATAGATTGTGAGCAAGGGGGAACTGAAACCAAGCAGGTAAATCCCCAAATAGTGGAAGGCAACTTCTTCTAGCAGTAAGGTATTCAAACTTCCAAAGGTGACAAGGACTAGAGAAGCAGGGGTATGTCTAAAGTGAAGAGAGGCTGTGTATTCACTGGGATTCGTTAGAAGCATGGAGGAGGGGATGCCAATAGTCAACCGATGGCCTAAACGTTGCAAAGAGAGACACTCAAAAAGGAGTTAAAGTGTGGCTTTGGGTGTAGCTGAAAATACCGGTGCCGGAGGGGAGTAATGGTAACTGGGAAAAGGTTGAGGAAGGGACTGAATGGGACAACAGTGAGAGTAGGAGGAAACATGACAAGACAGTGATAAGTGGGCAGGTGAAAACAAGAGGAGTAAGAGGGAAGTTTAGCTTCCCAATACATGATCCATGGAGGAGTCTGAGGAAGCAAGACCAGGAAGGTTCAGCGGAAGTGTTTTTATGGGGGGCTCCAGGTTCACTGATCCCTTTCTAGTAATGTTGTGTGTGAGAAAGGGAAGGTAGAGAGGGGAAGGTGACTATCCTTGAGTGTCCCTTGGGAGGCAGCTTTGAAGGGCAAAGGTGCCCAGGCGCCCAGGAAGGCTGTTCTTACTTCAAGCAGGTAGTCTTAGAAGCACAGGAGAAGGCCATCCCCGTGGCTCGAAAAATGAGCTGACGGGGAAGAAGACCAGCCTGGCTAAATAGAAAGCTTTGGCTGGACCTCAAGAACAAAAGGAAAGCTTATGTTCTCTGGAAAAGGGGGTTGGCATCTTATGAGGATTATCAAGATATAACAAAGCTACGTAGGGGGAAAATTAGAAGGGCCAAAGCTCAATCAGAACTCAGCTTGGCCACTGCAGTTAAAGACAATAAGAAGAGATTCTTTCAGCATATCAATAGAAAAAGGAAGACTAGGGAAAATGTAGGCCCACTGATGAATGAGACGGGTGCTCTTGTGGTGGAAGACACAGAGAAGGCAGAGTTACTGAATGCCTTCTTTTCTTCGGTCTTCATTGCTAAAGCTGTCCCTCATGAATCCCATACCCTGGAGGCAAGGGGGAAGGTCTGGAGAGAGGAAGATTTCCCCTCAGTTGAGGAGGACCGGGTCAGAGACCACTCGGCCAAGCTGGACATTCATAAATCCATGGGCCCTGATGGGATGCACCCACGAGCGCTGAGAGAGCTGGCAGATGTTATTGCTACACCACTCTCCATCATCTTTGAAAGGTCATGGGGAACAGGAGAGGTGCCTGAGGACTGGAGAAAG